ACAGCAATTTTGCCAAAACAACTCCAGTATGGACAAACTCCCTGCTGAGCCAGATGGCTGCAATATGAGGATTAAGTGACTCCCATCCTTCCTGCTTTCATCATGACTAGTGACTGCTCAGAACATGTTTAGGAGCCTCTGCTTGGAGCGCTTGTGACAACACATAGGAACCAAAATGGCCATTGATCAATAAAAGAAGCCAAAGCCCCCACTCAGCAGCCTTTTTGCTTGGGGAAATTCCCTCATTCAACCAATTCCAAAGACCTTCACAGTCCACAGAGGGGTGCTTTAAAGCCAGGAATAATATGAATGGAAGCAATTGTAACTTTAAGGAATCAGATCTCAAAACCAGCTTAGCAGATATGCAGGAAAAGAAAGTTTCCATTTCCAATCCTGCACCTTGGCAGCTAACAAGGAGGATCAAGGGACACAGCACACCACTACAAATTCATGATTGTTGTTACCCAGCGCAAGAACCGGGACAGTTTGGTATAGACACCATATTTGCCTTTCCTTGCACATCCTTCGCCCCAGCTAACTATTCCAGTAACAAAATAAGTATCCTTATATCTGGTCACATGGGGGCCACCACTGTCTCCTTGGCAAGCATCTTTTTCCTCTGTGTCATAACCAGCACAGAACATGTTCTCAGTAATGGCTAAGTTAGTGGATTGTTTGCAAGTGTTCCTATTAACATAGGGGACCTCGAGCACCTTTAGTTTTTTCGATGTTCGCCCACCTTCAAATTCCCGCCCAAAGCCACTAACCCTCCCAGATTTCTGGTTCATCAGAACTTCATTAGCAAAGTCCGCTTTGGGGAGACATGCTGCGATGACATACTCTGAAAACCTGATAGGTTCCTTCAGCTTTAATAAAGCAATGTCATTATCATATGTCTCAGCATCAAATTTGGAATGAACAAATATTTTGTCCACAGTGTGCATTGATTCAGACTGCTCTTTCTTCTCTCTGTCCACTTCACCTGTACAAGAGCATTAAAAGGGTCATTAATGTAGGGAAAGCATAAGAATTTCAGAACAACCTTGACAGAGGAAGAGAGTAGTATATTGAGTCTGAGTACTTTGTCCAGGACCTTAGACCACACAAGGAAATTGAAAACAGGGATGGCAATATTTCTTAGCAGCACCTGGATTGGCTTTGGTCCTGAGATTGGGTGTGTGGAGATTTTTATACCAGTTTATACAAAGGCATAAGCTGATTCAGCTAAACTAATGCAATTTTGTGTGGAAGCACTTACAGCAGCTTGAGCCTGGCTTAGAGAAGAGAACAAGGTGTGGACTACAACAGAACCAAGATGAGGCCGTGTTGATCCTGTTGTCCGGGCTCAAAAGGGAAGCAATGATAAATCTGAGCTTGTTTTTGGTGCCCTATTGCAATGAGTCATAGCTTTCCTGAGGGTTCCTGCAAGAACAAATCTGGATGCTTCTGAAGTGTCAGGAATCATGAGCTTTCTGCAGAAGCACTGCTCTGCTGAACACGTTGATAACCAATACTTCTAGGATATTGGACTGCAACCACTTCCAGCTAGTTGGTAGAGAAGAAAGAGAGGCAGCTGTTGCCACAAAGAAGGATGTCAGAATAATGAGAAATTATAAAAAGCAGCAAAAAGGTAACAAACCTTAATGCATCATGAGTACACCTCATGGGAGATTTAAGGCACAGAAGGTTAGGCACTAGAGATACTCTCAGCTCAGAGGAGTAAAACAAATAATCACTCACCAACAACAACTTTGATTTCTTTGGATTGGTTTATGCAATGAGCTGCAGTAAGTACAAAATTTTCATTCAGAATAGTTCCACCACAAAACTCTTCTCCTTCCTCATTTAAGAGAACAGCCTGTGAAGCAAAAAATTCAAGTGCACAAGGAAGAAGTGCAGTTTAAAGTCGATGATCGATATTGGGGTAACTAATTTCCCTGCACACTACAGAGATGCTTCTTACTGCAACAGGCATGTGTCCCTCCACGTCTCTCCTAGCACGGCATTCCTGCATGCAGAGGCTGCAGATTGACTTCTACTGCTACAGAGTCCTGATTGTCTATATGTGAAGTTAACATTTGGCTTCCACATTACCCCACTCCCAGTGCTGAGTAACATCCCTCAGGCATTGACTGAATGAACAGGCAGAGTGCAGATTCCAGATCACCGCATCCCTTGGACTTACCCCCCAAACAATGTCCACATACAGGAATTCATTTTGGCTGGCCCAAACTCAAGAATAAAACTGAGACATGAGGGTGTATTTCTGAACCTAAACACTGGCTTGTATCTGCTTTATCCCCCTGCCCTCCGGTGTGCTGCCTGAGTGGATGGTCTCAGACAGAACCAAAATGTGTCCTGCAAAAGTGGCCTGGGAGTGATCCTGAAGTCCTCTCTGACAATAGGGTAGGCGGTTCCATCTAAAACGGCACACAGCCTTTTGTTCTGACCCCTTGAAGCTGCAGTTTGCAGAACAGCACATCCAATGCCAGGGTCACACAGCTCAGCTACATCTCGCTCCCGCTGGCACGTGACAAGGGTCATGTTCAGAAGGCTCCAAGCTGGAAGGAGCCACTGCTCCCCTTCCCTCAGAGACACCCTCTGCCCACATGCAGGGCAAAGCCCCCTCCACTCACCTGCCATGGGCACTGGCCAGGAAGACACTCATCCCCACCAACTATCCTGGTATCGACATACGGAGTCTTGCTGCTGGTTCTGTTGTCAGGTGGAGGCGTTGGGCTTTCTGTGGTAATTGCAAAGTCCTCCTCTGTGCTCGTTTCGTTTGCAGCAGGGTCTTCTTGATCACTCATTCCACTGCTATGGTCAGTGGGTGAAAGAACAGACCTTTTTTTCCTTACCACAGCAATTTTGCCACAAGGGTATTTTACTGTAAAGAGAAGAATGCTAAAATTAAAGATGGAGGGAAACACCAACACAAGGAGAAACTCCTTGGAAATACCATCTCACAATATATAGTGCTGCTTCCTCATTCTCCGACAATGGAAAAGACTTGGCACATGAAACCAAGGAAGAAAGACCATATGGTTTGAAAAATGAGTGCTCTTTCCTCATCATGAAGGGTCTCTTTCAGCTTCCATCTCACAATCATGTTTTGAAAGTGTTTAAATTTTAATACACCATTTTCAATTTGTTTTTAACAAATTTAATGCATCATCTTCCATTACTTACATTGACATATTCATGTAGTTCCTCTTAATAAAATGTACTTAATTTGGGAACTGAGTGAAATTATTTATTTTAGGAATAATATTGCCAATGACAGCAATTTGTTATTACCTATAAAGTGTATAAAACCTGACATGATATCTAAATTGTTGACTTACCCCTCCCCTGTGGCATTTTGAAATACAATAAAATTGTACATATGTGCATAGTGCTAATCATAATTATCCAGTTTCTTCAATTACAAGTTGATAAGGTTCACTGCAATTTAAGCATAAATTTTTGCAAGCTGCTCTTTCATATGGCCTGTAAGTGTTTAAGCAAAGATCCTGCTGTGATCACTTTTCTCAGCATGGCCTCACCTTGAGTCCCATGTACAGTTTTTGGCAACTAAATATAAGAAAGATATAAAGCTCTCAGAGAGCATCCAAAAGAGGGCAACAAAGATGGTGAAGGGCCTTGAGGGGAAGCCATATGAGGAGCGGCTGAGGTCACTTGGTCTGTTCAGCCTGGAGGAGACTGAGGGGAGACCTCATTGTGGTCTGCCACTTTCTCCTGAGGGGAAGAGGAGGGGCAGGCACTGATCTCTTCTCTGTGGTGACCAAGACACAGAATCACAGATCCTTTAGATTGGAAAAGACCTCCAGGACCACCGAACACAACCTTTGACAGATCAGCGCCTTGTTAATCAGACTATAGCTCTAAGTGCCACATTCATTTGATTCTTGAAAACCTCCAGGCATGGTGACCCCACCACTACCCTGGGCAATCCACTCCAGTGCTGGGCAGCCCTTTCCATGAAGAAACCCGAGAGAATGGCAGGAAGCTGTGTCAGGAGAGGTTTGGGTTGGATAGTAGAAAAGGATTCTTCACCCAGAGGGTGATTGGGCATTTGAACAGGTTCCCCAGGGAAGTGGTCAAGGCCCCATGCCCGACAGAGATCAAGAAATGTTTGGACAACAATTTCAGGCACATGGGGTTATTATTGGCGTAGTCTAGTAACACACCAGGAGTTGGATATAGACGATCATTGAGGATTCCTTTCAAAACAGGATATTCTGTGATCCAATGATTGTTTATTATCTTGTTAACAGCAGAATTTACTCTGACATGCCTCACAAGGCGGCACTTTGCTAAGGGTTCAAAATCACCTAGATTTTGTTCCACTCTACCACAGCACCTCACAAATGGAAAGCTTTGGAAATACAAAACTCCTGGCCTCACTGTTGGGTCTATGCCATGTAGGATACTGGTGGTTCAAAAGACATTCCTCAACTGCAAACTCAAAGACTGTAACTGTAAACCTTAACTGCGAAATAAGCCTCACCACCACTGCTATTGCTTTATCACATGGCTTGGTACCTGTTGCAACACAGTGTCTGCCATCCTCTGCCAGAAGGTACCCATCTGCACAGGAACACAACACATCCTTCCGCCCATCTCTGCGGACGCTGCAGAACTGCTCACAGTCCCCGTTGTTTATCCTGCAGAACTTTGGTATGACTACAGAAGAGAGGGGGGCAGAAAAACTGTACATAAACACTGACTTCACAGAAGATCTGGAATTCTCTGAAACAGAAAACACTCCTTAAACAGGAACTGTATCCCCACCTGCCAAGCACCTGAAGCACCCTGCAGGAATAACTAATGTCAGTGCTGAACATCAGCTTGTGCCTTACAAAGCAGCCACATCCAGCACAACAAACGTACTTGCCAAGTCTGAGTGGGCCCAGTGGCCATGGCATGGTGAGCTCAAAAAGCAGAGACAAATTGTCAGGGGAGCAATGAACAAAACACTAATAGAGAACGTAATTGTGTAAATCCTCACACAATTCCTCCCTCCTGCCCTAAAAACTCCAACTCCTCATCACTCCCCTTGATCCTCTGACTGAACCTCCTGGAGTTTCACACTCCTGCTCCTACTTCTGGGCTAATGATACCCCCTCCCTTGGCAAGGTCACAGGGGCAGCTCTATGCCACAGAAGTGAGCCCCAGGAAGGATTTCCATGCAAAACATCCTTCCTTACAAGTTCGCCGCCACGGTTCTCTAAAGCAGAAACTTACCAAATTCACAGTTCCTGCCTTGATAACCATCCAAGCACGTGCAAGTGTAGGAACCAATTCCATCTTTACAGTGGCCACCATAGTGACAAGGATTTGAACTGCACTGGTTCCCATCTACAAAAAGAAGCCAAAACCCAAATTATTGTAAGTGTGCAAGCATTTTCAGATAACTCAGAAGGGCTCTTAGTTTTCTTAAGCCATCTTCCATCCTTCCTTTCAAAACATAGGTCCTGTGAGTTGCCACATTCCAGATGGAACAAACAGTATAAATGTAATCTTTCCAAACCTGCAATGATTCATCTACATATCCTCAGTTTTGCAATCTCTTTTTGGTGGTCACTGTATTATGATGTGCACAGAAGCCTTTTTTTACGGGAAGATGAAGTAATACATAGTGGTCAGAGTCTACATAACTTACAGTGAATCCTGTAAAACCAGATAGGACATTTCTATATTGCAATTACTGGCTAAAATCCATCAACTTTTATTTCCTTAAAGGTCATCTCAAGCCTTCTGCATGTCTTTTGCCTGCTGAGCTGTTAATTTAAAGACACAGATACCGGCATGATAAACAGAAGTTAATAAAATCCCCAAAGTTTACGAAACACTGTTAAATTCACATGAGCAGGCCAAAATTCTGTTCTGTGCTGCTTAGAGCGCCAAAATTTTCTCACTGTATCCATCAAGATATGAGCTTGAGTTTGTAGTTATTACCTCTTACTTCAGGCTGCCCACATCTATGTTGGCATCTCGAGTTCTGCAGCCTTTCTTCCTTTCCTGGACACAACTGGCTGACCTGACTCCAGGGCCGCAGCCACACATGCCTCGTAAACTCAGTTACGTGGAGGACAGAGAGGCATTTTGAGACACATTTCATGTAGGAGCTCATTCTCCCACCCATCTCATTCCTTTTCTGGTGCTCACCGACATGGTCTTTCCCACTTAATGCTCTGCTGCAAAAAATGCATTCCCCCCTCACATATGTTCTCTGGGATGCACTGTTTCATACAAGAAGCAGGATATCCAGAAAAGTGACACTTACTCAAGAATTCATTGCTTTAGACAAGACAAATTTCAAATTTCTAAATTTTACCACCTCTTCTGCCCCTGTTTGGAGCAGGGTCACAATAGGTGAGTCAATTTATTTTATTAAGTACTGTTATGATGTTTTTGTGAAGAATTGGAAAATCACAGTGACATATGGGGTAGGGTTCTTGTTATCCTCTGTACAGTTATATATTGTGGGCTTCATTTTGTCCCTCAGCAGCTTACAAATGAATAGTAAGGGTTATTTAATTATCATGTCTCCTGAGAATATGAGAAATAGCCCATTAATTGTGCTGAGCATTTGAAAACACTACATACTGACGCCATAATTTACACTGACACAATTGTCACTCCAAAATGGAATTCCCCATGTGCCTCAGTCCTGGATATCATTGCACTGCAGCTGGCAAAGTGGAGCAAGGTGGGTGAGACAGCAGAGCTACCGGGTGTTCACTCATGTGCCCTGCCCCGCAAAGCAAAACTACTGGCAACTACCTGCATGGTTTAGGCAAAGCAGCACAAAGCCAAGCTGAAGCAAACACTCTACCTGTCTGCCTCATCTGAAGGAAAAGGAGGACAACGGGAAGAAGCCGCGTTGTCCCGCGATGACCCGCCATGCCCATCCTCCGAGCTCACTGCGCATCACCCGCTGCTTGCCCTGCAGGGCTCTGGGGCAGCTGCTCACTGAGAAACACCACAGTGCAAAGGTCAGCCACTCATGAGAAAACAAAACCTCTGACAGCAAAGTCTGAGAGCAATGTCGCCATGGCACGGTGTTGAGACACAAAGCCTGTGAGTGTGCTGCAGCAATGCCACACTGGCAGCTTTGTGCTGGCAGAGCACCTCTAGGCGGCTTTCCTCCAGAAATTTTGACAGAGCCTCTCTAAAGCAGCTGGGCTGTGCAGACAGCCAGGAGCTACAGTAGGTGATGTGGCTCTTGCCCCTGTCCCAAGGAAGGCAGACAACCAGAACCAGAGCTTTGTGCCTCCTGTACGCTGGGCTGAAGCAGGAAGGTGCCCCAGAAGAGAGGAGTGAATCAGGGCACAAAGTTTGCAGGTCTCGGTGAGCACATTGCAAAGTTGTTACCCACCAGCTCCGTCACAAGCACACTTGGACAGACCACACTTCGCCAAATTCATCAATTTCCATCCCATTATGAAAGCTGGGGAGTTATGGGTTTTATGGGCTGTTTCCTTTTGGTCAAACCACTCCATGGGACAGCGCTTGACAGGCCATTGTGGTCTGGGAATCAGGCTATGGAAGACAATCCTGCCAGGTGAGTCACCTGTGCCAGGGAGCAGTACACAGGAAGCTTGTTCTTTCCATGCCAGTGCAGGGCACAAAGGCATGATCCTAAAAGTGACACTCTGCTTCTGCTGCTCACCTGGAAACACAGAAATCAGGGGCTGGAGAGACCTACAGGGTCACCCTGCTCAACCTACTGAGCCAACAGGGGATCAGATTGACCTCTGTGATATTTTTGGCACATTGGCCAAGGCTCCAGAGAAGAAGGTACCCAGAAAGTTGCTTCCTGTTGGTCACTGAGCCTGCTGAAATGTGTTTTCCTCCCATACTGTAGGATGCCATAACAAAGGGCAGCTTGTCCACATTTATTCCTTCGGGCAGCCCCCATCATGCTGCACACCTGACATCTACTTCCATCTCCCACTCTGGAAGAAAACCAGTATTGCTGCCCTCCTGAGAATATCTAATGCAGGGCTCCTCTAGTCACAGGGCTTACTCAACATCCTTCTTTTCTTCCCTTAAGTCTCAGGACTGGTTTTTCCTTGAAGGCAGAAGAAACCTGAGCACTAGAGAATAGCTCAGAGCCTCTCTGTCCACCATCCTTGGTACATGCCAGCTTTTGCCTAAGCCAGAAGAAATTCTGGTATCTCAAAATCCACCAGTTTACTCAGAGCTGTCTGCTGTGTCCCTTTCCTGGATTTTGCAATCTGTTCAATTCTGCTATGTGAAATCATTCCCAAATCATTTGTCAACTTTAAAAAAAAGAATGGGCTCTAATATTTCCTTTTGATACAGGCCCTAGGGTTGCTTATGTCCTTTGACAGGAGGTCTAGAGGCAAGCAGATGTTTCATTCATGTCCTCTCAGCAGGGCACAGAAAGAGCAATGGACACGAAGCGATGCCTTCAGCTACCTCAAGCCCTTTACAGCCCAGTCTGTGTTTTGCTCCAGTCCTCAAGCTCCGCTTAAGTACAAGAAAGTCCTTAGCAAGAGTATGCAAGCAGGATTTGGGTAGGACCCAGACCTGAGACTCTCCTTTGAAGAGGGATCTTTTGCCCTGATTGAGCACAAGGCGCAGCACCCGTGGGACAAAGGATTTGCACAGGAATCCAGTGGACAGAAGAACTCGGGGAACAAACACTGCTGAGCAAACACTGAAGGAAGCCCACTGAGGAGTTATACAGGTCTAGACCAGCAGGCTGGGATAACTGACCTGCCCACTCACTTTCCTGCCCACAATTAGTGCTGACTGCAGCAACACTTGCTGTTTGCAGACTTGTATTTTGAGTTTCTCAGTCTGCTTTGCTCACAGCACCTGCTGTGTGAAATGAGCCAGTACCAGCTCAAAGCCTAAGAGAGATGGAGCAGGTGTCTAAGGAAGTTCAGGGTTCCAGAGCACAGGGGAACATAAGAGACTGGAGAAGCTTTGGAAAAGCCATCAGGATTGTTAGGGGGCAGACCACATGATGGATAGAGGCTGTTGGGGCTGGGCTTGTTAAAATTACAGCAAACAAGAAAAAAAAAAAGAAAGAATGTTTTATTTCAAATGCCGGTGTACATCAACATAGCACCTAACAGAAACATCTAGAACAGTACACATGCAAGGAGTTTTCCAATCCTCAGCCATACACAATCCAGAACAAGATACAGAAAACAGTGAATGTGCACATATATTTTTTCTGATGAGCAGAGTGTACAAATTAAACTAGAATAAAGTACCATCCTTATAAAGCAAAACCCCTCTTTATTTAGACATGCAAGATCTCCTGCTCTCTTAATCTTCTGAACACATCTGAAGGT